TGCTGCCATAAAAATAATGCCCCATGTTTTCTGTCAAAGTAATCTTAATTGTAATTGTAGCGCAGAATACTGATGTTAGACTAACTGTAACTTCAAACCTATCAATAGCATTAATCATACCCTTAATGTTAATTGTAATTATAATTAATTATAACCCTTGTGTCATCATTACAGCAATGTGCTCAGGGTGCAGCCCTACATATGCGGGGCAGTGCCTTCATTACTGCATTGTGTCCCACAGGTGGCCGCAGAGCTGCAGTGCTCCTGAGAGCTTTAAGGACAGCATGGAGATGCGTGGGTCTTCACGGCAGCAGCAAGGAACCAGAATCTGCATTTCCTGGAATGCCACGGAACCCCACTTTGCTGGCTGGTAATTGTCTGCCCAGCAGGTAAGGGCAATGCTCACCCACCAGTGTTTACCCACTCCATAGCATGGCACAACACGGTGCTCCCAGAGCTCTTAATTGCACTTCACGGTGCCCTGTATGCTACCTGTTCTTTTCTTTCTCTATTCTCCTTGCCCTTGGCTTTCCCTGCTTTGTTCTCTTGCCCTCCTGTTTTGGCATTCCCTGTGGCATTCTCTTGGCCATTGCCCTTGGCCTTCTTTGATGCATTCTCTTCAGCCTTCGGTTTTTGCCATCTCTGCCACGTTCTCTTGCCCTTTCTCCTTGGCCTTCTTTGACACGTTCCCTTTGCGTCCCATTCTGACATTCCCTGCATTTTCTTTGGCCTTCAGTTCTGGCATTCGTGGCTGCGTTCTCTTTGGCCATTGCCCTTGGCCTTCTTTGCCACTCTGTCTTTTGGCTTCTTGTTTTTTGCGTTCCCTCAGCAGTCTCTTTGGCCCCTTGTTCTGGTGTTCCCTGCAGTGTTCTCTTTGGCTTCGATTTTGGCGTTTCCTTCCATGTTCTCTTCGGCCATTGCTCCTGGCCTTCTTTGCCGCTTTCCCTTTGGCCTCTTGTTTTGGCATCCCTTACGGCGTTCTCTTTGGCCTTCAATTTTGTCTTTCTGTGCCACGTTCTCTTTGGCTGTTGCCCTTGGCCTTCTGCACTGGTTTTCCCTGATTTGTTTTCTTTTGTCTCTGTTTTGGCGTTCTCTGTGGCCTTCTCCTGGGGCCTGGCCGCTGACGAGGCATTCTCTTCAGTGCTCCCGTTGCCTTCCCGTTGCCTTCCCTTGGGTGTCGTCTATGCCTTTGCCCTCTGTTTCGGCATTCCCTCAGCTGTTCTCCTTGCCTTTTGCTCTTAGCTTTGCCTTGGCCTTCCCTAGCAGTCACTCTGAGCCTAATCCTAATAGACCTAACCTTAATATCTTCTCCCCAACCCTGCGCTCTGAACTGAGCCCTGAACCCCAAAGGTAGTGTTAATTGCAGCCATGACTGTATAGATAACTGTGCAAACTAACCCTGAACCTTCAATAGTGCTTTCAACTGGTCACTAAACCCATCTGTAACCTTCTGTGTAATACTAACAAAAACCCCACAGCTTCCCTGTTAAATACTCCTAACCTTACTCTCATACCACTTCCTGGAATGGTGTTTGGCTTCCACGTTTTGTGGGGGTGGGCTGACAGTGAGTGCCATTTGGCTCTCGGCGTTCCTCCTTCTAAAGCATGTCTCTCTGTATTACAGGTGAAGATGTCTTTGACACTTCCAGCTGATGACTTCCCCCCTGGGACACCATCGTCTTTCCAGACCTCCCATACTCACCGCCAGCTCAGTTCGGTCGAGTTGTTACCCGAATCGCCATTTCATTCCCTTTCCATGATCCTCCTGTCACTCTGCCACAAGCCCCTACCACCTCCCAAGGTCGTCGCAGGCAACATGTGTGATGCGGCACTCAGTCTCATTATAGTTCATCCCATCAGCCTCAGCCCAGCGATCCAAACCTAACCCACATCCTTCCTTAGGGCCCTTCTACTCCCAGGCCAATCAACGCTTCCTTCTGATGCCATCTGCGTTCCTTCTTGGCTGCTTTAAGACTCGTGCCCCTTTGTGGCCATTTTGAGAGTTGCGATGACTTCAGCCTGTGCATTCAATTTAGTTCAACCAAATTGGCTTCAATTTTACATTCAATTAATGTAAACCAAATTGGCTTTAAGTTTGCATTGCTTACGGGGTTGGGT